GGGAAATTGATGTATACGGTTGGCATCGCAGTAATCTTTTTTTTCCTTACTGTGTGTGGCAGTGAATGTGTTAAGAGTTATGTTTGAGTTGTCTTTTGTACCCAACATTGGAAATATGTGTGTGTGTATTACACAATTTGTATTATTTGGAGTTTTAAACCTGAGACGTTTTGTTCGTATTGGCTGGTTTTGCAGAATAAGAAATTATAAACACCCATTTTTAAATGTCTAAAGTCAATTCAAACTGTCTGATTTAAAATTTGACTCTTTTAGAGAAACAATATATTTGGCTATTGGCGACTGGATTTGTAATTTTGTACCAAATTTAGTGGATTCAGAGCTGAGAAGTGAAGACCTAACTTAAGATATGTAAAATCAAGTTTTTAATACTTTTCTTTACGTAATGCAAGATAACAGTAGATAACAATAAGTACATAATTATCATATTTTATATTATTTTAATTAATCTTTGCTTTTTGAAAATTTCTGCTTTAGTTTTCAGCCGTCTGGGTTGTGTGGTTTGTTTGTTGCTGCCCTTCTGCACATAAGGTTGCGGGTTCGACCCAAGCCCAAGTCGGTGGATTATCATGATGCAGAAAATCGACAGAGGCCATGTCGCATGATTATACGGCATGTAAAAGATCCCTATTGTGACTATTGGCCTTTTGTGATCTCGGCAAAATTGAATCCTAGTATAGGTTCGCATCGTCAGAGCTCAGGTGTCTCTCTCTAAGGAGGAAACTGGGCGTCAAAATTACCTGCGACGATTGGTATCCGCCTATATGGTGCCGCATTAAAAAGAGATACTAGCTTCGGGGAATGTACTAGGTCTGCAATGGTAAAAAAACCGATACGCAGCCCATTAGAAATTTAAAAAAAATTAATTTTCAAGCTAGTTATTGATTTAAAATAATCAAAATTATCCCATCTATGAAAAATTATTTTTTGGTACTTACGTATCATACCATCAACCAATTTCTGCAAATAGAAAAACATCGCCAAATGTCATCGTACATGAGAACAAAATTGCGTTTTTGCATAAATGGGAACAGTTTTTACTATTGGCTGCATATCGCGGCATTTGGCGAAGACCTTTAATTTTATCACATTGGTTGTCGGTACAATACATAAGAGAGAGTACCGATTTTTCTTACAAAATTTGCTTTATAAAACATTAAAATGCATCTTATGTTTTCATGTTTTATATACTTAAAATATTTTAACAAATGTTTATTTACAAAGTATTAATTTTTGGCACATTCTTTCACGTTTCAAGTTCTATGAAATACGAAATGTTTGGTTGAATCGTTTAAAAGCCTTTATTTCTATTTTTATATTTGGTTATTTTTAATTTCTTATTCTTTGAATTTCTAATATAAGCCGTTTTCTTTGAAAGTGGTGAAAGTCCATTTTTGACAAAAAGTTAGTTAATTATAACATTGAATGCAATCTGCTATGAACTTTTTATTTATGAACTGTTCCCAAAGAAACCTTAAAAATTTTCATCATTTTGTCGAAATAAATTTATGTATTTAATGAAATTACACAAATATAATTACTTTGAAAGTGGTAAATATCGCCATATATAGTATAAAATGCATTTATACCACTTTCAAAGAAAGCGGCTCATATGACTGAATTTAAGGTATTCGACTACGTTTGGAAACGTGATTTTGCAAAAGCCTACAAACGAATATTTTTTTTAAATACATAGTGTCACTTTTAGTTTAGAATACACGTATAAAATGGTTTTAAGAATATTATTACTATAAAAAGTTATTTGAATGCAATATTTTGGCAAAAAAAAAAAGAACATTGAATTATTTTTTTTTAAAAAAATATTCTCCTTTTTTTATGAAAATTGCTTCTATAATAATAATATTTTGCCCATATATAGCTCAGACCTCTGTAAAGAGTCTGAACTAGGATTTTTGAAATATGCAAGTTAGAAGTGGGTTTATTCATATTTTAATGCATCAAAATGAAAACATTATAGAAGAACACTGATTATTATTTCAATTGTTAGGGACTGAAAAAAATAGGAATGTTTAATAATCCTAGTTCATGCTCTCTTGCGAAGGCTTAGCTATCAAAATGAGAAATATTATTGTAGAAGCATTTTTCATAAAAGGAGAATATTTTTTTAAAAAAATAATTCTTTGTTCACTTTTTGCCAAAACAATGCATTGAAATAACTTTTTATTGCGATAATATTCTTAAAACAATTTTATACGTGTATCGTGATCTAAGTGGCATTAAATACCATGAAAATTATCAATTTATACGCTTTTTTTAAATCACTGTTCCGAACGTGGGATACCTTAAGATTAACTTATACTTAATTGATCTTTATTATAAGCTTATTGCATTTCAGTTTTTATTCGAACTGCTTTATTAAATATTTGATAAATATTTGTATAACTTCATAGCATCATCCAAACACAGAACAAATGTCAGTATAATTTATTACTTGTGAATTTAGGAATATTTTGAGAATATTAAATTTAGAATATTTATAAAGATACTTCGTAACTTGTTCAGAAGAATCTCCATAATCCACAATTAATACACTCCTCCAACTTTGGTTTCCCTGAGAAACGCTGCAACCCTAGCTCAAAGACCAATTAATATCACGTCACTTCTGCTCCCAAGTGCTGTCTCTAACGCTTTGTTAATCGCGTTTCTGAAACATTAGTGAACTTGGCGGTTAACCATCATTAAAAATGAAGACTATGTCTGTATATTAAGTAACGGATTGATGAACAAGGAAATTGAGCAGAACGTAGATATAAAACATGCACAGTACCGCATTAAGCTGGAACATCATTGACAGTAAGAGGTCCATATTTATAGTTACTAGCCCGAACGAATATATTATTTCAATTGCAAGTCAATATTGGATGGAATATGTTATAGATAAAGAATCTAGTTCAAATAAAAGTAGTGTTATAATAAAATAAGATATTTTTATTATAAATTTTTTATTTCTCTTTCAATTTAAATAAAATAACTCATGTAATTATTCAATTCCTACTATTATATATAGTTCAAACTCTCCTATATATATTTACTTATAAATATATATCTTGTTCAAATTTTGAATCATTTATACAATACTATATATTTATCTACTCAAGTTCGAATACATTTTTTTTAAACTTGTAGTGGATGACAATTGGTGCTAATACAGTTTTTTTCAAATATGAATTCTTTAACTAAATTAAAAAATGAATAAATAGTAACAAACAAAAATAATAGTCCAACACCCTACATAAAGGAAAATCGATCTGTGTCTCTTTACGCAATGGATAGCGCGTTGGACTTCTAATCCAAAGGTCGTGGGTTTGAATCCCACTTGGTAAAGCCTCATTTCTGTGTGTGTGTGAGAATGTTATTTCTTTTTATTACACTATTTTATTGAAATAATTAAATTTTATTATTGTATAAATACTAACAACCAAAAATAATAGTCAACACCACATACAGAAAGAGAAATGGAAAATTGGCAACTGTTCAGCGGCAGTACGGCTTACAGCGTAATGAACGCTATGGTTGAACTTTTCGTCCAATGTATCTCGTTCTATTTACCAATGAGAGCCGTTTCAGCGTGGCAAGCGATCCTAGACACCAATTAAAATAGACGAAGAAGCTCACATTACAACTTAGTTACCGAAACAAGATGTTGCAGAGTTCGCAATCTTCTGTACATTGAACCGATGACTTGCTGCCCCCCTACTTCCAGATTATTAGGGGTGTTGGAAAGCTAAGATCTTATTTTTTTTTGACAATTTGAGATTTTTACATTTTCAAACTGCATAGATTTTAACCTTTCTAAAAATACCGTACTTTAACCTCTAGGATAATTAGAAGCCCTTAAAACCTATTTTTAAATAATCGTTGAAACTGGACCACGCCCATTCAAATGGCAAAAAATGCAAACAAAGTATATATTTAAATTTTGCTTAGAAGTTGAACGTCTGATATAAACCAAAACATGTATCTTTAATTGTAAATTGAGCCTTTTATTTTTTTTATTTCCTAGCCGATTAGAAGTCTCATTGTATACATAAAATCAATTTATCTCAAAATGTAAATTTTGATGTGCGATGTACCTTTTCAGAGAAACTACTGTTCACAGGTATGTAAATTTGTTATGATATATTTGGAATGATGGCTATTGTATACTAAAATGAGCTTTTTGTAAAAAACTCAAAAATTGTTTTACAAATATTTTTAGGTGAAAAATGGGTTAAATTTCACAATGTTTGATAAAATATTTTATAAATTATGAAAAAAATTCAAAATTAGCTAAAAGCTCATTTCTGTATAATGAGAAAGGTATACTTTAATTGCATAAAAAATTTCAAACATGTACATATAACAGATTTTGAGAAAAGATACATTGTAAACAGCTAATTTAACATTGTCGGTATAGAGATTTCCTACTCCCCATAAAATCTTAGTATTAAAACCACATTTGGATGAGACTGTGATTTTGTGAATGTTTTATTAACGTCGCGTATAAAGCAATATGAGGGCAATTGACGACGGATCTCGTAATTTTGAGCTATGGTCAATGACGACGACACCTGAGATGGCACCCCATCAACGAGAGGGTTTTTAGACCCACTGCCTATTTAACACGCATCAGCCCTTCTAAACTGCGGGCTCGAACTCGTAACTGTAACCATTAGGTCACCGTGGCCACCACTCACCACTCAAATAAGGGCTTTGAGAAACAGTTAAATTTATAGGGAAATACCCTCTCATTATTCTGTAGATATTTGTCTAGTGGAATTAGGCATCCCGCGAATTCGAAATGGACCGTGATATTAATTGGCAATGTTCCAGCCAAGGAACTGGGTATCTTAAACTTGCTTCAAAGGAGGTGGGTAAAGATCGGCCTTTTTTCGCCGATCGGCAAAAATTCATATTATGTTGTTTTTTTAACACTGATACTCAGTCGAAATGAAAATGTTAGACCTTTTTAACACCCTTTTATAAGTTTCACTTGTATGTATCGGAATTTTTGTGAACTCTCTCTCTCTCTTAATTTTTACCTACTTTAAAAGGACAGATTAATTTGAAATTTGCTCACTTGTCCTAGACCGATGATAATACGGTTATTTAATAATTTTGTTCCGTTGTCCTGATCAGGATTACCATTACAAACAATTACCCGTTTTCTGATCCCCTCCCGTATGTACCGACTAATTCCAGATCCCATTTCCATATTTGGCGACTAAAAAGATTAAGTTACAAATTTTTTCGATTAACTATAAAAGGGTGATTTCAGTATTTTTTTAAACTGTAATTTATTTATTAAAAAATCTTTTATTAAATGGTGAAAACAGGAAAAAAATAAAAATGTTAAACTATTTATAACAAATGTTTTCGATTATATTTCCTTATCACATTCTGAATCGTCACAGGGCCATCCAGTAGCAGCGGTCTTGAAGTGAATCAACATATCCAAGACTGTGTTTTTGTCGTCTGGGTATGATTATGGCTCCAGTATCCCAAGTACAGATGCAACATGTGCACAGCAGCCAGCAACTCTAGTACAAGCTTAGCACTGACGATACCATTCAATGTTTGGATTATGACCGATTCGTCTTCTTATCCATATGTTATATACTTTTGAACTTGTGTGTCGTGATCACAATTGGAGTCGAACAAATGAAGAATCTTCTCGATTTAAGTAAAGAGAGTACATCCTCGATTGCTTAAGATGTTCGTGAGCATATTATTTTTTAATAAAATACTCAAAACGCATACAATACTACGTAAAATAATGGACACGTTACAAAAGAAATATTTGTATTACAATATGACATGCTCGAGGTGAAGACACGTTTGAACACGCACGTGACGTGTGAGTTTGACCGATTCGCGGACAAGTTATTTTGTTTCGTATCACATCAACGCGCTCGATGCACCAAAACATGTGAATGTCATTTTAAAAGCCTTATTGTTGTAGTATTTGAGAGACCAAAAAAAAATATGGTGCTTAAAGCGCTTAACAGTTTTTTTTTTTAATGAAAGCTGGGAAAAGCGTTTAAAATAACTAAACTCAACGAATTTGCCAAGTCTGATGACTTTTTTTATGCGACTTGCTATTTTTTTCCTTACTACTTTAGAATAAAAGTAAAGATCAGTACCCAAGGTTCACATGAATATAATGAATAATATAGCTCCAATAAATACTTTGAATTTTCATGACTATGATGGGCGAAAAAAGGCCGATCTTTACCCACCTCCTTTGAAACTACTAATACCTTATTGTACCTCAACATTGTACCAAAAAAAATCTTTTAAGGGATGAGAGATTATCCTACGTATAACCATTGTACAGAGTGTTTTTTTCCAGGTATAGAAGTTTAAGTTGGCATTACTTTCCAAGATGGCGACCGATTTAACAGCTTTAAAGTGATTTATTCTCAGTTTGGTTTGGCAATTCATCATGAATAGACTCCCCCGCCTGAACAACGCTTTCAAATTGTGCAATTTTATTTCGAAAATAATGGTCGATTTTCATAAGCGAATTTTGTTTAGCGATGAAGCACACTTCTGGTTGAATGGCTACGTCAACAAACAAAACTGCCGCATTTGGAGTGAAGCTAATCCACAAGTGTATGTCGAAACACCGTTACATCCAGAAAAACTGACTGTTTGGGGCGCTTTATGGGCTGGTGGAATCCTTCTTCAAAAACGATGAAGGCCACAACGTTACAGTCAATGGTGATCGCTATAGAAACATGATTACTAACTTTTTCATTCCTGAATTGAACAATCATGATGTCCAGGAGCTGTGGTTCCAACAAGACGGCGCAACATGTCACACAGCTCGTGCCACAATCGATTTATTGAAAGACACGTTGGGTGACCGCCTAATTTCACGTTTTGGACCTGTGAATTGGCCTCCAAGATCTTGTGATTTAACACCGCTAGACTATTTTTGAGGGGCTATGTAAAGTCATTGGTCTATGCGGATAAGCCACAAACGCTTGACCATTTGGAAGACAACACATTCGCCGTGTTATTGCCGATATACGGCCACAAATGTTGGAAAAAGTCATTGAAAATTGGACGTCCAGATTGGACTACATCCGAGCCAGCCGTGACAGTCCAATGCCAGAAATCATATTTAAAATGTAATTCCACAAGATTATCTTTCGAATAAAAAAAAATCATGTCAATCGAATAATACATCGTTGTTTTATTGCAATTTAAAGTTCTATACCTCTCAAAAAAACACCCTTTATATATATCCACTGATTATCAAATTCATCTTGATTCAAAGTATTCAGTTTTTAATTCTGTTGGTTTTAAGTATATTGAATCATACTACCGGTACGAAAATGTATACATAACACTCTCTTCCCTTTAAGATATTCAAACACGTTAAAATGACCAAATTCGGTCAAAACCCATATTTTTATTTTTTATTTTATTAAATAAAGTTATCTTTTGGCTTTACAAAACATTCTTAGTTTGACTTCTACGTTACCGAGGGGACAAGTTACAATCAATTTTATAAAATTAGAAAAATCGGAAGGGGTCTTTAAACTACCAAAAGTGGAGTTTGAAATTGTTCAAAATCTGTTTTATTACGATTCTAATAGTTTGAAATATTACAAACCTATTTTTATGAAACTTTTTGAGCCTGATATTTATATTATTTTCAGGATAATGTACTAAAATATTTCTAATTGTATAAATATTTTTTTGAGTTCCTGCCTGTACTTGTATAATGGTTTTATAAAGAATGTCACATTTTTTATAATATTAACCTGGTCTGCTCTAAAATTTTAAAGTTTTAAGCAAACACTTGTTTAAATGCATTATCTAAATAAATGCATCTAATTTGTTTTAGTAATACTTTTACTGATATAAGTTTATTACTTTTTTCTCTAATAGCTTTAAAATTTTTCAAAAATATTGCTAAAATTTCACTTATAACTGTGATTTAAACTGTGTTAGTTAAATATTAGTGTTTATTGGCACTGATTCCTAAAAGAAGCATTTTTGTAATGTTTTAGTATGCTATTTTTTTTAAAGTACTTCGAACGTGTTCGTCGATACCTTAAAAACACATGTATAGTATATATCATCTACAAACTTTTATAAACGCGCGATAACAATTTCAAATTCCTTTCTTTTTATCGTCTGAAAATAAAATTGTTTTCAAAAGTTCTTGAAAACGATTGCTAATCCAAAACAAGAATATTTGATATAATGTTGACTTCCGTGGCTATGATTTTGTATTAACTTACCAAGTGGTCGATAAAATTATAATTTGAATGTTTTGCGCCGTTCGCGTGAAGCAATTCATCAAAACGACGTGAATGGACTAAATTCAT